TATATATGCATGTATTTATAAATGCATGCATACATATACGTGTGCATGCATACATCTATCTATACATACATACATACAATCTGAGAAAATTTGCCTAGAACATATATACTAGCTTCTCGTCACCATGATTCTCTCTATAAAGATCATAGTATATATGTATGCGTGTGTGTATAATTTGCATGACACTTACAACATTAGTTTTATTTTGTAGAACAACTAAAAACATTAAATGAGGACAATTATGCAAAGTCTTAGTCAACGGACCAATCAATCAATTCAAAATCACTTTGACCAAGTGGAAATAGATTGCTAAAATTAAATTCACTTAAATACAAACCCAAAAAAATGCTACTCCTCACAAACTCAAGAGAAAGTAAATAAAAATACAATATACAACATTTATTTTCATAATTTGAAACACACACACACACACACACACACACACACACACATGGCTTCAAAGACTTGCTAGGGTTACTTTTTTTTAGAAATTAAATATTTTCCAATATATATATATATATATATGAAACAAGCCAAAGTAGTATTCTAAGATAGAAAATATCTCATGGTTCATAGAAGAGTACTAATTACATTGTCTCATGCAATCAATTGATGCAACCTCTCATACAAAATTGAAGCCTCCAATCCAATTCCAGATGAAATAGCCTACAAAAAAATATCAAATCGCATTATGTAATATGAATATGCAAACACTTACTCTTCAAATTACATAAAAAATATCACAAAATTTAACTTATTTAAAGGGAAATATATCTTTTCATGTATACAATTTAATGTGATTTAAACTCCAAAATAAATATAAAAATTTAAATATAATTGCATGGAACATTTTTAATATCAATATAAACTTTTTTTGGTTGTTTTAGATAGAAAAATATGTATGTTTGTTTAGTTCTTAGAAGGTTGATGAGAGTTCTTAATTACCTGAGAATGAATTATGCAGAAGATATTGTTGTCAACGATTGAGAAATTTGCATTCATAACCTCAGCACCTACTTCCTCTAAAATACAAATGACTTCATGAAAGTCAAATCTCTTCTCCAACCCACTGATAAGGAGAACCTCGAGGTTTTTCTCGTGATTTCGGACGTTGATTACCGGCAATTCAAACCCGAACTTGATCATATTGCTAGGTTTGTAATCGTTAATGTTGTTGCGAATGTTGAATTCTTTCAACTTCTTCAACCGTTCAATTTTTTCTTTAAGGTCTTGTATGCACTTAGTAGCTTGATCCAATAAATTGCATTGTGACATATCCTAAAATTAACAAAGCTTTGAACATCACAAAATTGAAATAGCACAATAATAAATAAATAAATAAAGGATACACAACTAATATATCATTAAATTTATAAATATAATATTGTGTATATATAATATTGTATAATATTGTATATATATATACATAATATAGAGGAGGTTGAATTTTCCACATTTAATAAGCAAAGAAATGAAAAATGGCTTCATCTTTATGATGTCTTTTTTCAACTGTTTTACTTTTTTTTTTATTTAAAAACAAATATAATATTTAAGCATCATAAAATTGATGCGGCTTGACTTGAATTTTGTATTGAAGAAATAATCATTTTATATATATATAAAGCGAAAATTGACTTAGGTGTGTACTAAAAAAAAAAACTATAGCCATTTAAATGTTTCATAATTTATTTATCAGTCAAATAAAATCCTATATTATTTATAGAAACAATTCTCATAGTCCCTGAGCACGAGGCTTCAAACACAAAGGCAGCGATCACCTCCAAAACATGTTTGACGATATCCGGAAATCGCGACAACAATCTCTGTGGCTCAGAGATGATGTTTTTGTCATGCTACTTAGGGTTTTATAGTCTCTAGACTACCATAAGAAAAGAGAGCATGCAAAACTGAATAGACGATCTGATTGTGGAGGCATGACACCCTCCAAGCACACTGGCGGAACACTCTCACATATGGAATGCAAGCGAAGGCTAAGTGAGATTTCATATATATATATATATATATATATATATATAATCTCTTGTAATGACTAATTCTATCTTGTATAATATGTTTTATCACTGAGCGTTAACTAAGCTCTAGAATTCTTAAGTTTGAATTCACACAGCTCAATTCCTTATACAAGGATATCTGAAATTATCGAGATATTCTCGGTAGTTAAACTCTATGAATCTGAATAAAATTTTACACATGCGTGCGTGCACACACACATATGAGTGTCTTAACTTGGCTCATTGGTTACGGCCTTTGGTGTCATGTCAGGGGTTCTATCTCTGTGTAGCATTGAATTGCACACATTTTTGGAATTGGGGTCCGCCCCTCAGACTATGGGGTTGACCAGCAATTAAATCCTTAAATTATATATATGTATATACATATGACCAGTCAGACTGAATACTCACTGTATGATTTCTGTTGAGGATTACTACTAAAAATACATAAAAACGAGCGGCATGGCTTGATCTAATACAAATTTTAGAGAGTAAAAGAGGGAGGGAGGGCAGTCTAGAGAGAGAGAGAGAAGCTTAAGAAACATATATAATATACCTTAGAAAAATAGTCTGGTTTAGGGATGAGAGCTTGAAGCTGGAAGCAAAGATTCTTCATATGCATTCTCCTGTTCCTCTCTACTATCTTCCTGTCCAACTTTCCATGCAAAGCTCTCATCATTCTCTCTCTATCTCTCTCTCTCCCTCTCCCTCTCCCTCTCTAACTTATATATAAATGTGTATGAAAAAAGTGGGAGTTGGAGCTAAGTGTGAGCTCTCTGAGGAAGGAAGAAGGAGAGGGAGGCGGCCGCTTAATTTCTCATCTGGTTTCCTTTTATGGAGCCAAATGAATGAAGCAATATTAAACGTGGAAGAAATCAACTCTGAATTCATTGTCGCAGCATGCGGGAGAAATTATTGTATTAGGACACTATTTCCGTCACGTGTCCAATTAAAATTAGCCCTATCAAAATATAAAAGCTATTAATTGCTTGTTTTTTAATACGCCTACACCGGCCATATAGTAATACATTATTTCTTTCTCTTATTCTCCCATATATATATATATATATATATATATTAATGATAAGCGACCACTGGTTTGAATACTAATATATGTCTATAGTATTTTCTTTTGAATTATGTGTTTATGATGTTATAAATATTTAACTTATTGATCATGCATATTTATGATATTTGTTGTGTGCAGGTTATAAAGAACTGCAGGTTATAAAACTATGCATATTTATAATATATTTATTTTATATTTATTTACAGCGGCCCACGGACGTTATCAATACTCCCCCCAATGACCTGCGTGGTCATCAGCTCATATAGTTCTCAACTCCGACCACAACAGCCTGCAGACGTCACCAACACTCGCCCCAAGGACCTATGTGGTCATCAGCTCATGCAGCTCATGACTTCGGCCCCAATGGCCTATAGATGTCATTAATACTCGCCCCAATAACCTACATTTTCATCAGCTCGTGCAGCTCCCGACTTCGAACCCTGTGGTCTAAGGACATCATTAATACTCCTCCTTACGGCCTACGTGGTCCACAGCTCGTGCAACTCCCGACTCTGGTCCTCACGGTCTCTGGACATCACAACTATGGTCTACGTCACAACTACTTACTTTGACTTTTCTGATCAATCAACACTTATAAAGCAACCATCTGCAACACTCACAACGAACTACTATCTCCACAACAATCAACAATGACTCTTGCAACCTGTTGCCGCCAAAAACTGCAGCCAGATTATAGTTATGCAACTTTGTAATTCAATCTACCCTAATTTCAGGGAAGAATAGACTCATGTACTCATCATTCATAGTTGATAATTTCAACTGGGCTAGGCTCCGTGGTTTTTCTCATTTTCAAGGGTTTACCACGTAAAACGTCGAGGTGTCTCATTCGGCTTAATTATCTTCTTTTATTTATTTGTGTTAGATTCTTGTGCAACGCTAAGACGATAATTTATTAATGTACCGCTACAAATTTTTTAGTACGCATCAAGAAGGTTGAGCATGTGACCGTTTGTTGGACACATACGAGCTTGATTGATAAAGTTAACATGATCAAATACATCATTGGACATCATACATTTGATTCATAGCTTTCATAACATTGTCCTATTTAGTGTCATATTTTCATTTAATTCTAATAAATTAAGCTCATTTCTTATACAATATGCCCCAGTCTTCCTAGGTCTACCTCTGCCTTTCTTATATAATAAGTTGTTTTATTTAATTATCTCTCATTTTACACATAAGAAAATTATTTGTATTTATAAACTCTACTAAATTGGTGCTATACATATTGCCATTTGTCTCATCTTATTCATATTGATCAATAAAAATTATGTGTGATAATCTCCCTCTTGATATTTGCATGATAACCTTTTATACATTTTTTAATTAAGCAAATTATTTTATGTTTTCATAAATCAAATATAAAAATATATTTATGCATACAGTTGTTATTAAATGAGTTAAAAATCATATAGGATGAAGATATGCTTATTTTTAATATGGGCAAGCTTTTAAATGAATAAATACTTATCAACAACAAAGCCTTTATCTACATGTCCGAAAAATTATTCTACTTACCAATGGTTTTTTTATAGTTTTTTATCATGATTATTTGTGATAAAAAAATTACAACATATATCATCGTTTATCAATAGTATTTTGTTTTTTGACTGTTTTTAATTATAATTGACAGAATAACCCGTGGATTATTGACCAGAGGAAAATATGTTGAGATTTTCATACATATTTTATACTATTTACATTTTAAAGAAATGTATTTTTGATGTTTTGTTGCAGGAATGATGAATTATGGTCAATGGAGCAAAAAGATTAAAAAAGGAGCAAATTTGGATAAGGCCGCGGGTTAATATGAAGATTTCAACTAGGGCACCGATAGCAAACCCAACCCCCCGGCGGCGCCCTCGGGGCCGCCGACGGCGAGATCGACGGTTATGCCCACTCAAACTTTGGATAAGGCCAAATTTTGAAGTGATGCTTAGGTAACTCTTGGGAAAACTCATCTACAACTTTAAAAGAATATTTTTGGTCGAAAGTCTGAAGGCTCTGGAGGTTCTGGATGTTAGAAAGGCCCTAGAGGTTAGAGGAAAATATGTTCCATAAGTTATTTGCTTGTTGTAGTTTGTATGACTTTGATTTTATATATGAATTCTGAGTTTTGTTGTGTTTTCCTCATGAGTTCTGAGTAGTTTTATCTGTCTTTCTCCTTGTCTCGAGATTTGTGAAATGGTGATTTGAATTGGTGGAGC